AATAAAGCTACAAAAACACAAATTATATAAAACCTTTCTTACCTCTGACATTATTCTGTGTAACAGTGGTAATTTCACCATGATCTGTAAAAAAAAACAAAACAGAGTCGCTGTCTGAGGTCCGAACAGCACAAAAATATCATGAGATTCAGAAAAAGTCCACCGTTCAGTGTGAGTGAAGGTTTCTTAGAGAATTATAATTAGTGAAAAATCCACACTCACCATAGACATTGACAGTGATGGGATGACCCATATTCCCTCCACTTTGACACTGATACTGACCAGAGTCATGTCTGAGAATGTTCTGGAAGATCAAATAGAAGATCCATACTGATTTGTTTAAAGGTTTCCACTCTGTTTTAATGTGACTGTCTCCGCTGACATTGATGGGGACAATAGCTTCCTCAACTTTATACCAGGTGACTGTTGTTGGTGAATCATTGCAAAAAAATACTGGGCAATTAATCCTAAGTTGATGTCCAGCTGATGCATTATAAACTGTGTTGTAGAACAGTCAGAGTCACCTGCAGAAGAGAAATTATACCAAACACATAAAGAAGAACAATTAGAAATTAAGAAATGTTTGATGTTAATTTTAATTTAATTAGAACATAAAGCAATATATTACACAAGAGACTGATCAAAGGTGTTTAGACAATACATGTATATAAAGACTGTTTAATTGAAGACTAATAAATATATAAACATATCCATCATATTGCAACAATAAGATCAAAATAGAAGTAAACATGAGGTATGACAAACAGTAAGAATGGGGGGAAAAAAAGATTAAAAAGAAAAATCACTTTGTGACATTTATTTGATGTTCAGTGGAAAAGTAATTTGCATGAACTCCAGCAGTTCAGCAAACTGTGAGTGAACCCGTCCTAACACAAAGGGGAACCTAAAGCCATGTGTATTAAATTCATGTCTACCTTTTACTGTCAGATATTCCACTGCTCTTAAATACTGAGCTCACGGTCTCACTACAAGATCCACCAGCAGGTGTCCCGGAGCCGTTTATCATATGACAGAAAAACTGGAAGTTTAAACTTCTGTGTTTTCAGGACAGCACCTATCATAACTGTCCTGTAGAAAACCTTTAAGAGATGATTTTGCTTTTCACTTTGTTCCATTTGAGAGGCAGAACATAAAATCAGAAGCTTCAGAGGAGTTTAAAAAATAGCTGTGAGGTTTTTTTCTGTGATAATATGAGTATAAGCCGGTCCACCACTGGTGACCTGTGTTTTTGACAGATGAGAGCAGCTTCACCCTCAGCACTGTCCGGTATGCATACAAGCACGTGGGGGTCACACAAACTGCTGAGTACCATTTTGAGTTGCTGCAGTGACAGTTTGCTAAAATGGACTAGGTCTGAAGCAAATGGTTTTTTAATTGGATTTTCAATCTGTCTTTGAATTCGGCCTTTGTAGGTCGATAATCGTCATCTTCATTACACAATGTGGCATCCTTTCATTCCTAACACGTTACCCAGTCCACATATTTCCCATTGAGATCTGATGAATTTTCAGTTTTCCTTTAATGTTGTTAGCTACAGATTAGAAATGACTGTGCACCCTATTTACCAAAATTACTAAAGTAATCTTAACTAGTGTTCAAATTTTTAAATATTAGAGGCTGGGTGTCTTTATGATTGGATCACAATGTTCAAAAAAAGAAGCTAAATATGAGGTGAAACAGCTACACTGTGACATTTCGTGAGATTCTGTAATGACAGAAAAGTTATAGAAAAAAATTATATTGATTCAAGATTAGCATAGTAAGTGGATGGTATTGTTTTAGTAATACTAACATATCCAGAAAACCTCTAAAGATCGTCCACATGTATGAACTCAACGAAAATCTCCAGCATAGCATCAAAGACCATTTCACTGCGTCTTGTTTTGTCCTTCATGTTGAGGCTTTCTTTGAAGGCGGAAGGTTTGAAGGCTGCGCGGTCAAGCCTTTCAGCATAACCTGTAAATTACTATGAAAAAATATTAGTTGCCTGCTTTGGATTATTGTGTATAGCAAAAGGTAAAGGATATTTTAAACCTTTTACAGCTGATTTCCACAATGTTTGAACTGTAACAGCAAAAATATTTAAACTCAGCCGTGAACAGAGAAACAAAGACGTGTTCAGACTGAAATAGAGCATTTAAAATGAATAAGAATCACTTAATCTCAGCATCTGAAGTGAGGATGAGGACTGTGAAGATCAGCGAATAAAGGATGGTCCTGCACGAGTATGTTAGGAGGTGGTGGGTAGGTGTACTGTTGTTGTTTGGGTTTTGTTTTCCTTTTGGTTATAGGTAGGCGAGGCGGGGCTTGATGGCATTCCAACACACCTGCGACGCATCGGACGTCATCAGTGAGCGCTTTTAGGGAGCAGAGTCACGGACGTCTGGTGTCGGAGTATTATCGCTGTCACAAGTGGTAACGAGTTAGCACAGGCTGCATCTGTTGATTTTACGCTGTGGAGCTGTATGTTTTAAAGGATCCACGTTTCGCCTACTTTTCTTTGTCTTAGCCTGTTCCATCGCCTGCCCGCCTACCTAGGATTTTGTGTTGGCTATTCTGGATCCGCGACGGAGTGCTACGTACCATCAGGCGGCGATCACCGCAGCGGCTGTGGTTTGGGGTGGTCAAGTAAGCTCTCCAACTCTCTCCGTCCACTTGTGTTTAACGTTCGGCTATCAACGGTATGCCATAAACCCTGTTTTGTTCCCTGTTGTCAGGTAGCTCCGGTGCGTCTGCTACCTACCTGTATGCTTCGGCTCCATCTCATCGCCTCGGTGTTTTCCTGCTGACACATTTTTATTTATCACTGTATATAGCCCTTTCCCTTGTAAATATTCCCCCTTACTCGTGTATATAAAAACTTGCATCACAAACTATTCTGCGTCCGTGTGTGTTTCTGCCACGTAATCCATCTGTGTAATCCAGCTAACCTAACAGAGTAATGTTTCATGGCAGACATTTAAGGAACCAGCTGTGAACTTGTGTAAAAACTGTATGTGCTCTGCATGTGACAGTGCATGATATGTGGTTGACTTTACTTCCTGCTTCTGATTAGGAGTGTCTTCGGATGCATACCAGAGTTACCAGAGTACCAGAGTTTATGGTTTGAAGGCAGAAACACTCAGTCTATATATACCACTTGAAACTTTGGGTATTAATCAGATTAAAACAAAAGCGTAGATTTTTTAAATTCATTTCTTTACAGGAAAAACAGGATGAGAATGAATCATTATAATCTTTTTTTTAAATCTAACAGATATGGAGAAAATATTATAGTTTTTACTTGCACAAAATGATTAATATTACATTTCTATTCCCAAAAGAATCACAATAAGTACAATAGCTCATTAGTCATTCATGTAGTCAGAAAGTCAGTGGATAGCTGATATGATACAGACAGATAACCATTACTGTTATCATAGGTAAGTTTCTCAAGAGTTAATTCAAGTCATAGATGTGCAACAGAAGAACATCACAGTGAGTGCATGACAAAAAACAAACAAACATTCAAATCAATACACACAATCATAAAAATCTCCAAAAATTTGTTTTGTACTACGACTTAACCTGACTACAGCTTCTGTGACACCTCTGTCTTAGAGGACAGTTTACTCATGTGTCATGCACACAAATACAGTGACAATAATCCTCAGAACAATGATCATCTCTCTCTCCCTGAGTTTGCTATACCTGTATATGGCTCTTAACCCACATCCCTGCAGAAGTTGTACATCTTTACAGATCTGGTCACAAATCTACATTTTTAGTATTTTAAAATGATGCATTAATATCCCAGCGCAGATATATTTTCAACAATTTTTACTGTAACACAAAAACAGTGGGAACCTAATTTTAGTAGCATGTTAATAAATATTTGGTAAACTAATGAGGAATAATGGCAGGATGATCGTGTATATAGAATTGAACTAAAATTCACTACAATGTACACATTCCTGCTAATGAACTGACATGCTAACAGGAACAGTGCTGTTGTTTTACATCATTCTGACACAGCACTGGAGCTGCAGCACACAGGAGCAGTGTTGGTCAAGTTACTTGAAAAATGTAATCAGTAACTAATTACGGATTACTTCCCCAAAAAAGTAATCCCATTACTTTACTGATTACTTATTTTCAAAAGTAATTAATTACTTAGTTACTTAGTTACTTTTAAAAAACACGATTTACAACCTGAATAGGTGATAAAGTATGGAAAGCAATAGATCTTTCAGTCCAATTCTACTTTTTCTGCATAATCCATCATACAAAATGTAATCAAATGGAAAAGTCTCTTTTTAAAAACTTGGTTTATTAGTTTTAACCTTTTAACTTTATGCATCAAGCAAAATTTTAATTATATGCAACATTCTCTGACTGGAAGAAATTTGTTTAACATTTAAACCTATTTTCTACACATTCCAGCACATAAAATAAAATATATTTTTGTTTACACTCACTCCTTCAAATAGATGCAAGTAAAACACGGCAGAAAATAAATAAAATCAAAGACTTGCGGTCCTGTTGCTATATTTTCACCTGTATAGCAGGAGTTTCTCTGTGAGTTTCCCATTATGTCGTAGCGCACTCGGTGCTTGCTTAGAAGTTTGGGGGGCGGGGGGTGTTTCGCTGTAAAAAGAAGTTTTGTTCCCACACACAACGGACACTAATATTTTTGTCACTTTTTATGGAATCAAACTCAAAATAAGGTCAGTACTTCCACGCTTTAAACGCTGCACGCTCATACTCTCTCCTGCACTCAATATATTATCCATTGTTGATCTGCACACAGCTGTTTTCACGAATGTTGCACTCGCTTACGTCACTGTCATGAGACATTCTCGCAAAAAAAATCACGGTTTTAGTAACGCAGTAACGCAGCGTTCCTACGGGAAAGTAACGGTGATCTAATTACCGTTTTTGCAATTGTAATCCCTTACGTAAAGTAAGGGATTACTATTGCAAAAAAGTACCTGAAAAAAGTAATCGATTACAGTAACGCGTTACAAGTAACAAGTAACGCGTTACTGCCCATCTCTGCACAGGAGTAACCTACAGAAATAAGTAATGCTGACTGATATTACCAGCTAGTTTGGTATTATTTTCAAGCCTTTACTTTTTGACATGCTGCTATGTTATTCCTGGTGTAAACTTGGACATTTTAACTACAAGGATTGACTTTTGTAGTCAACCTCAAGTGGACATTTGAGGAACTGCAGTTTTTGGCACCTCTGTCATTTTTCAGCCCTGGAGATGACTGCTTATGATGCCACATGACACAAAATGCTTCTATTAAGCACCATTTGAGGCAACAGCTTTGGTGTTAGAATCCCTAACAGCTTTAAATCTAAACACAATGTGATGTGTGTGCTCAGACCATACTCTTTGCAGTTTGCTTGGCACAGGTTGTATTTTATGGTTGATTGACGTTGTAGGTGTAATTTGCTAGGTACACTGGGTGGTATTGTCTGTGCTGAGACATTGTGCCCATATATATCAAACATGCTCTAACACAGCTCTTGTTAGTGTACCCATTGTAAGTGACATGACATCTGGTGAAGAATCTCAGCATAACTCTGCTAAATCCCAAACTGAGCAGAGGCATAATCAGCGAGAGTAAAAACACTTATGAAAGCTTGTAGGCTTTTAAATATTGACCAAAATGTGAGGGTGCTGATTCTGCTATTTAAATTATTAACAAGTCTTCAGGATCTCAGGTAAACAAGGTGTGATGGTCTGTGCGGTATAACTCAAAGATCAAAGAGCAGTTTTTACAGAAGTGATGAGTTGTGTTTTTGGTATCCACACTCTTTACTTCGAGTCTCTGCATTCCCTTCTAACTGTCCTTCAGGTCTCCTCTGGTGGAGTTACACCAGCTTCAGATATTCATCAGTTGTCCTCTAGTGTGATTTAGTCAAGCAGTTCTTAGTCTTTATGCCAAACGGATGGCTGCGTACTCTGAGGTCTCTTCCACCTCCATCCGTGGCCGATTAACCCGCTGAGGCAGCTCGTGGTTAAGAGCAGCATACACAACAGAGCCGCTCTCCTCCTCCACGGTGTTCCTCTGTCTCTCTCTGCCCACATGACTCGGCCCATAAGCCTGCTCATTATCTCTTGATAATCTAAACTCATTGGGCTGCCTTGGTGGAGTTTTCCTCTTGGTAGATCTCCGAGATGGTGCAGCATAGGGGCTTCCTCTCTGTGAGGGCTCCAAGCTGGGTTGAGGAAGAGGTCGCTCCACCATGGGGATCTGCATGTACTGGAAACATCCAAAAATGTTCGAGTTAAAATTATTGATGGAAAAAATGTGATAAGCTTGAAATATTTTATATCTTACCTGATTTTCAGCTTGACTGTCTTTCTTTGGCTTCCCTGCAGGATGGACAGTTTACATGTTTAGTATTCAGTACATCTGGTGATGTTTTATTTTGAAAAGGCGAGAGAACAGCTCACCTTTACAGCCTCGCATTGATATGACAGATATGATTATGACTATGATGACGAATGTGGCGATCCCAGCAGCAGAGTACACGTATGGCAACAAGGTTTCTGTATTGTCAGGAGCAGTCGTGCTGACTGCAAGAAAAACAGGTTTCAGTCAGTTTGGATTCAATAAAGCTACAACAACACACATTATATAAAACCTTTCTTACCTGTGAGATTATTCTGTGTAATAGTGGTAATTTCAGCATGATCTGTAAAAAAAAAAAAAACAACAGAGAAGCTGTCTGAGGTCTGAACAACACAAAAATATCATGAGATTCAGAAAAAGTCCACTGTTCAGTGTGAGTGAAGGTTTCTTAGAGAATTATAATTGGTGAAAAATCCACACTCACCATAGACATTGACAGTGATGGCATGACCCATACTCCCTCCACCTTGACACTGATACTGACCAGAGTCATGTCTGAGAATGTTCTGGAAGATCAAATAGAAGATCCATACTGATTTGTTTAAAGGTTTCAAATCTGTTTTAATGTGACTGTCACCGCTGACATCGACGGGGACAATAGCTTCCTCAACTTTATACCAGGTGACTGTTGTTGGTGAATCATTGCAAAAAAATACTGGGCAATTAATCCAAAGTTGTTGTCCAGCTGATGCATTATAAACTGTGTTGCGACGTACTCTAATTTCTGTAGAACAGTCAGAGTCACCTGCAGAAGAGAAATTATACCAAACACATGAAGAAGAACAATTAGAAATTAAGAAATGTTTGATGTTAATTTTAATTTAATTGAGAACATAAAGCAATATATTACACAAGAGACTGATCAAAGGTGTTTAGACAATACATTTATATAAAGACTGTTTAATTGAAGACTAATAAATATATAAACATATCCATCATATTGCAACAATAAGATCAAAGAAGTAAACATGAGGTATGACAAACAGTAAGAATGAAAAAAAAAAAGATTAAAAAGAAAAATCACTCAGTGACATTTATTTGATAATGAGTGGAAAAGTAATTTGCATGAACTCCAGCAGTTCAGCAAACTGTGAGTGAACCCGTCCTAACACAAAGGGAAACCTAAAGCCACGTGTATTAATTTCATGTCTCCCTTTTACTGTCAGATATTCCACTGCTCTTAAATACTGAGCTCACAGTCTCACTACAAGATCCACCAGCATGTGTCCCGGAGCTGTTTATCATATGACAGAAAAACTGGAAGTTTAAACTTCTGAGTTTTCAGGACAGCACCTATCATAACTGTCCTGTAGAAAACCTTTAAGAGATGATTTTGCTTTTCAAGTTTTACCAAAGAATATTATGTTAAGAGGGAGAATTTGAATCCAGAAGCTTCAGAGCAGTTTAAGAATGCCTGTGAATTTTTTTGAATTAATTATTAGACATTTTTACCGAGACAAGAATTTGATAATAATAGTTATGCTTTAAGTGAAGTCCATATAAACCTGTAATTGCAATTTATAAAAACATTACTTTTAGCTGCTGCTGTCCCACAGTGTTTCTGTCGTTTAACATTCACCATAAAAAAATCTTTTAGCAGGCGTGTGTTTAGGCAGAGTCCAGCATTATGGCAGACAAATATTTAGGTCCCACCTTCATGATTACTATTAATATTAGCACTGACAACTGTATCACCTTTAGACCACATTTAAAGACACCTTGTAGTAGACCAGAGTGACTATAGCAAGTAATCTGTAGAAAAAGGTGTTTTAATAAGCATTACTGTGAGGGGATATTTAGATTGTCAATTTTTTTAAATATGTGATTAAGACCATTGATACTTTTTAAACATTTTTTGAAACAGAAATTTTACAGGGATGTGAGGCTTCATTGGGCCCAGACGAGTATTGCATCATCGCAACAGGTGACCATGTCTGTGTTATCATTGTTTCTCCTCTTGTGTATTTACTACAGTATGTTTGTGATCATTGTCATGAGGGAAAATCCCTCTCTGAGCAATATTCTTGTGAACAGGAGTCTCTTAGTATTTTTATAAGAAATACTGCCACGTAAACAAATGTATTTAATTATCTACACCACACCCTTTATTCTTACGAAGCCTGATATCTGCCCATTCTGACGCCTCACACTGTGCGGTGTCTGTAGCGGGCCTGACCAGATCCACGTAAAACACAACAGATTTAATCTGAGCCACAGAAATATTTTGATTTCATTTAACTAAAGATTTTGAAGCCATTCATCAGCATTCTTTTTATCAGCGTTGGGCGAAGCTATTTTGTGTTTTATGAGCAGTTTATTTGTCACTTCATGTCTCGCCCACTCCAGTCTTTTTGTTGTGTGTCTTTCTGTTTGTCTAGACCATTGTTGACCTTTGGTTTTGGACAACATTGCTCTTCCTACTCCATTAAAACCACTGCTGTACATCTTGTGTCCTCTCTAGGAAGTTGCACAGTTTCATTTCTTACTTGTGTGGTCAATTCCTTTTGACACAGACCCACAAACACAGCCTCTCCCAGTCCACACAGTCTTTTTAACCTTATTCATAACTAAAAATTACAGCAGCTCTATTATGTCTGATTCACTGATGTTATACTTTTTGCTTCCTAATTTTCAACTGTGTTTCTTTTTAATGACGGCACACACAAGATTAAATACCTGACACTTCACTTTTAATATTTTAGTTATATTAAAGGAGTGCGCTCATTTGCGTATGTCACTATACTGGCTGTGAATAAAGTCACGTGCATCTTACGTTTCCCATGAGAAATTAAAAACAGGAAATTACACGGAGCTAGTATCTCCCCTGATCCAAACCATCACACACATAAAAAAGCACAAGGAACATAAAGTAGGCGATTAATTGAGCTCTGAGAATTTCTTTTTAATATATATGATCTTTTCCTCCTGTGCAAATTATTTCCATCAAGCTCCCACACGTAAGAAACCCTGCTGCTCTGGGAGAACAGAAGCAAAAGTTTTAGCATCTGAAACAGAAAGCTCTGCAGATGTTTAAAGGCAGGCTGTGCCATTTATGGCAGAATCTGCCTTCGATATCTGATACCACTGATAGTTTGAGTTTGAGATTTTGAGATCTAACTGAATTCTGCCTCTGATCTTTTTTTAAAGCTGCACGACTGGCAGCCACTTTTCACTCAAAAGTTACATCATATGTGGATGTGGCACTTTCCGGGTCACAACCTTTAAAAATATCAGGCCAACAGCTTTTATCAGATCATTTCCAGTACGATCGCAAACACTTTACTTCTCAGCCTGACTGCCTGAGAAGAGAAGAAAGCAAATATTCCACAAATACTGAGACGGCACAACACGATCTGTACAAAAACATCAACTTACTCTGAGCATTTAAGGTGAGGAGCAGCCCAACCAAGATGGACACATGGAGGATGGTCCAGCATCGATTAGCCCTCATGATGCTGAGAAAAGCTCCCGTCATTGTCCAGTAACAGCCAGCCCAAGGCAGTAATGTTCCTCCAAGCGCATTATTATGTGATAAACCCAAAAGAGAAACACTGATATGAAACTTGCTCCTTCCTCTTTCTGCTCACTCCTTTCCCCTTATCTCTGTCTCTCTCCCACCCTCTGTGTGATTGAAGCTGGGGTGTGTACACCAGTGGGTGGTCTTGCTTCTGCAAATCTTGCAAGTCAAATTCAGTGAAATATCTCAAAAACAGGGGGTTCCCACATGAGCCCTCTCTCGCGCACACTTTTCATTTCAGAGTCTTGTTTCGCTCTGTGAACCTGTGCACCTTCATCATCACTTCTGGGTAGAGTGTGTGGTTTACCTTCTTTAAGCTGACTTCCTTTCCCCTCTCCTTTCCTTTTAAGTTGCCGTCTGCCTCTCCTGCAAACTTGTGCGACCTTGTGCAGAGCACTGTGGTTTGAGCGGAGGGTGTACATTGCTCTGAAGAGGAGATGGGGACTTTGTGGCCTGTTAGGCTTTAATGCCCACTCTGTTGACATGTGTGTGTGGTTGCTGTTTTGGTAAGACCATCAACCCGTGGACCCCTTATCTGTCAGTCAATCACCTTCAGTTGGGTTTTAATGGAGTCCTCTGGGAGGTTTCTGAAGATATAAATCACCCCAAAGATGTCAGGGTTGCTTTTTTATCTTTTGAATAGAAATATACTGTGGTTGGGAGCTTCACCTATACTTAAAAGTACACTGAGCTTTTTTCTTTTGCCCATATCTCTCAGCTTTGGCCACCAGCATGTGGAAAAGTAGCTATCCACTTAAAAAAAATAATCTGGCTGTTTTATAAGTAAAAGTATAATTCTAATAGCCTACTTTGTAATGCTGCGTCCCAACTGGAAATAAATTTGCTTAATTTTTTCCAATTCTATATCTGGAAACTAGTCCTCATTTTGGTGGGGAATAACGTAAAACTACTTAATCAAAGGGGAATTTTCATGCTATTCGAGAAAATTAAAAAAATGGCACAGCGCTGTTCACCCGAGGAGGGAACTAATTTCTGAAACAACAGCGCTGTCAGCCGGCGGTACGGCTAAGTACAGGATGAAAACCATACGCAAGCGCCCACTCTTTACGTAATGACGTAACGAGGACGTTTCCGACGACCCGAAAATGGCGGAGTACCTGGCATCCATTTTCGGTACAGAGAAAGACAAGTAAGTTTTGAACAGTTTTCAGTCAGTTTTAAATATTATTCGTTCTTAAATTCGTATAAGATATCGCTTTTATGTAAAGTGTGCTTGCAGTGGTTCTATTTTGCCGGCGGTGGGGCTTATTTTGTACCCACAGCTCAGCTGCATGTCCCAGTCAAGCTAACCTTAGCAGGAGGAAGCTAACGTTAAGCTAACGCTTTGAATGAAACTCATGCCCTGGCTAACTTGCAGCCTTTGCGTGCTGTTAGTTTGCGCCAAAACATTCAGTTGTTTTAAATGTTTCCAGTTTGTGCGTGCACAACTGGAGTGTATGTTAAGTGTATGTTAAAGAAATTTTCAAAAAGAAGAAGAAACCGCTAACGCGTGGCCCGCTCAGTTAAGAAGCTGATTAGCAGAGTACCTGTCTGGCTTGTATTGTTCCGCCCCACCGGTGGAGTGCAGCAGAAAGCATCTTCCACTATGTGCCTGCTGAAGTCTTAAAAGTAGCTTTAAGTTAGCTATACGTTTATGTACTGATGTGATGATTTCCACAAGTAGGATCTTTGGTTTCGTACGGGTGAAACACAACAGTGGTTGAGATACCCAAGCAGAGCCAGAAACGTACATCCATTTGTACTGTGCGTATTAAGAGGCTAGAATCAATGTAATTTAATTCCCGGACAAACTTTGATCAAGTATCGCGTTAATGAAAGATCAGTAAGTAGGCCAGCCGTAGCTGTAATGTTCACACGGTCTACTATGCGACTGATGTCTTTCAGTACTAGTAGTGAGCCCCGCAGTGCTTCATTGCTTCAGTCTTATATGAAAAAGACGTGACTTGGTGGTAATGATGGTGAAAAAAAGTTGTTCCTATACACCAAACAAATGAGTAACATGTATTTATTGTTCTTCTTACACATTCATTTTATAAGACAAAGTAATCCGTTACAGGTACTATTAGTGTTGCTGTTTGATGATCTCTTATTTACAGGAATGCCTGACTTGTCCCAAATAATTAAAAAACAACAACTGAAAATTGTTTAGAAAACTGTATTTACAAACAACAATGTACACATATTGTAGATGCTGGTTTTGACATAAGCTGCTACACATAATATATATATAATTTCAACAGATTTATGGGTCATAAAGTATAATTCCCAAATTCATTATAGTTGTTGATAACCCTGGTAACCTAAGCAGTTTATATAGTAAGTTTAGTCCATATTGCATCATTATATTAAGATTATCATTTGTATACAATCAACCAATTTCACAGAGAGCTATGAGTTGATTAAAATGCTTTTAATAGTTAAAAGAAATGCAAAATATATGTTTTGGAAGTTTTTTGGTACCTTTTTTTTCTTCCCACATCTTTTCGAGTATGTATTAAATGTAAAACGCATAACACCTCTGCACCTGGTGTCTGCACTACTCTGACATTTCACATGTCCTAAATGAAGCAGACACAGACTTTCGTTTCCTGACTGGGTTTTGCCCTGACTTCCTCTGGGAGTGGATGAAGTTCCAACTTCTTGTATAACTATGACTCCCAAGGACCTGACGGTCATGGCCCTGATACTTTTGGATTTCATTCTGTAATGCACCCCTCCCTCCCATTTTAGACAGGCTATGTAAATCTGGTCTTTCTGTTTTGCAAGGAAGCGTCTGTGTTTTGTGGACTTAGCCAGACGTCAGGCCTGGTCTGGCAGCGACAGCACCTGCAGGACTAGAGCATCTACAACAAGTTATCGGGTTGTGAAGCGTAGTTAGTCTCATTTTCTAACTTTGTTGGCTTTATGGTCTTTAAAACCAGCCTCAGATGTTAACAAACCTTCAACCAAACCTTTGTATTTATCACAGTCATTTCATTCGTTATCTTACCAGTCGGAGTGTGCAGCATTGTGCTGTTTCTGTGCAGTGTTATGGGTGTGGTTGTGTTACTGTAGTGCAGCTACTGTTATTGTATGTTGCATCTGTAATAAAACAGTTATTGTCTATTGCTTATAAAGGTTATATCTCTACGCTCCGTATTAGGTTTTGTCTATAAACGGTTTAAGACCCATCACTGATGGTTCAGAACAAACAGGGTAGTTGCATTCTGCTTTTTCATTAGTTCTGTTAATATGTCAACATTCGTACACCTTAGCAACACCCAAGGTCAGATTCTAAATATGTGTGATAATGATTTTTCTTCTTTTTTCAGGGTCAATTGTTCCTTCTACTTTAAAATTGGAGCTTGCAGACATGGAGACCGCTGTTCGAGATTGCACAACAAACCAACCTTCAGCCAGGTGGGTATCCCAGCAAAGTACCTTTTTAAATTGATGACTTTATTGCATGAGGTCGACCACGAACCCTCAGCCCTGCAGTACACTGATAACCCAGTGTACCTCCTGACCCACTTAGGCTATGTTCACACTGCAGGCGAAAGCGCATCAAATCTGACTTTTTTGACCCTATGCGACCCATATCCGATCATGGTGTGACAGTGTTAACAGCACAAATCCGATATTTTCAAATCCGATCTGGGTCACTTTTGTATGTAGTACTGAATCCGATACATATCTGATGTTTTAGAAAGCGACTGCTGTTTGAATGGTCATGTCGCATTAAATCCGTCTTTTACGTCACTGACACAAGACAGACACCAATTATCAGTGCCTGAGAAGACATCGTGAACGCTTCCTGGCCATCCAGTGAAACTGCTGGGAAGACAACGTTGGAGAAACGTGAACATTTTATTTGTACTGTATAATCTGCAGATTCTGACAGACAACTATACTTTGAAGCACTGCTCCTCTCTAAAACAGCAATAAGGATAATTATCAGGCCATATGTAAATAACAAAATAACTTTATAACTTAAAGCAAAACTGGGAAACGTAAAGTCTGAAACAAGTGTTTATATTAAGGGCCATCAGTCGAACAACACTGTTTGGTCTGGGTCTAAACAGAGCGTGTTGTGTGTGACGTCTTCTTTTGCGCATGTAGGCCGCTTTGAGTGTTCACACTAGAGCGCGTTTGCTGTCACATTTTATTTGTAGTGTGAATAGCAGACAAAAAAAATGGATTTGATCAAAAAATCGGAATTGAACATTAAGACCTGCAGTTTGCCCTCTTGACTTAATGAGTTGCATGCCGTGGCCCTGAAGGATTTAGACACAAGAGCATAAAATTGCTCATATGCGCTCAAAGTCTTTGTGGTTTTAAAGTTATGTTAGGTTTGCATGGTGTGTGTAAAAAGTGAGGGTTTTTCTTGGCTCAAAATGAGCCTTTAGAAGTGGCTACGCTCATAAGCACAATTGGTCTGCATGCATAAAGCAATGAGTCTGTTACCCTAAAAAGTGTCTGTGAATTTTCCTGTTAAATGTATCCCATGCGTGAGTATATTTGATCTCTTTTACAAGAGAACTTGTCCTGGTTCTAGTGATTTTCATTCTGTGGGTGGGTGTAAATGTGAGAAAAGTGTTCTGGTCATTGTCCTGTTCATGTTATTCCAAACTCATGTGCTTTGTTTGTCTTTGCCTTAATGTGTCACTGACTTCTTGTTGATCATTTTCAGTGTGGGGTTTTTTTTTTTTTCTTTTGTTTTTTTTTTGTGTGTGTGGTATTCAGTAACCTGTGTTTTGAAATTGGGAAAAAGTTGGTGCTTTATGTTATGTGAAGTATGTGAAGTTGCGTGAGGTAGGTTAACTGAGGTTACTGTGAGTGTGGGCTAAAATGTAGAGAGTGGGGAAGACATGGCAAACTTGCCGCAAACACACGGCCAGCCTACATTCCAGTGTAGTTTTACATTGACCCTAATATGTCACACTTATCACATTTCTTGTTCTTTTAAATGTGCTAAAGCATGATATTACTGACAGGCTCAAACTGAAGTCTTTGTTACCAGAAAAGGTTGAAAACCTGACACTCCTGGCTCACCAGATGCACTTTTTCTTGTTTTCTCCACAGACCATCTTGATTCAGAACATCTACCGCAATCCTCAGAACAGTGCGCAGACAGCCGACGCTTCTCGCTGTAAGTGAAACTTTCATCAGCAACGTTTTCTTGCTCTGTTTCCTAAAAGCACTGGTCCAATATAAAAGCACATCCAAGGGACTGCTTCAGCCTTCTTCACTGGAGAACTTGTTCGGACCCCATTATCTCCCACGAACCCCAACACAGTTGATGTGTAATATCTAACCCTGTGGTTCCCAAACTAGGAAGGCACAGTTATGAGAGTAATGGTCCAGCAGTGCTGAATAAAATGACACATGGGTCTCTGAAGCAAAGCGTGGACAGTACAACTGCCAAAAAGACCACAAAATATACTGAGGCATATCTCAGTCTCTGCTTCACCACAGTGTGTAATGAAAATGGACCACTGTGTCGTATAATGCTATGCCTCTTTTCCACTAGCACCTGCTGAACTTGGTTTCAGCTGTTTTATATTAAAACTGAGGACCACCTTAACATAGACATAGACATCGACATCGTTTTAGTAACGCGGCTCGAAACTCCCATGACGTTGTTTGCACGTGACACAAAGCAAACCTCGAGCTCCCTACGGATTCTGTCATCAGCCATCTCAAACACAACAACGTCTGCCACTTTAAAAAAAAAAAAAAAGTACCTCCTAACAGGCACTACCACCTAATGGAAAACCATAAAAATATAGTCGAGTAAATTATTCCACATTAAAAAATAAATAAACATGGTTATACTCAAAATAATGTGCAGTATATTAAAATGGGTTTCAACAGGGAGAATAACAAAAGTCTGCACTTTG